ACAACATTATGCATGTACTTAATACCATTGAACTGTCCATTTAAAAATAGGTAAGATGGTAAGTTTTATGCATCCTTAGGCACAATAAAAAAAATTGGGGGAGGGCACCTGGGTGGCTCAGTTGGTTAAGCGACTGCCTTCGGCTCAGGTCATGATCCTGGAGTCCCGGGATCGAGTCCCACATCAGGCTCCCTGCTCAGCAGGGAGTCTGCTTCTCCCTCTGCCCCTCCCCCCTCATGTGCGTGCTCTCTCTCTCTCTCTCTCATTCTCTCTCGCAAATAAATAAATAAAAAATTTAAAAAAAAATTGGGGGAGAAAAACACAACTGTCAAGAATATGAAAGACAATTATGGAATGAAAAGTCACCGGAACAAAAGGCACAGCATAAGGAATGCAGTCAATGACATTGTGATTGGGAGGTATGGGCAGATGGTACCTACACGTGTGGTGAGCACAGCATAATGCATAAACTTGTCAAATCACTAAGTTGTACACATGGAACTAATGTAACATTGTGTTCCAATTGTACTCAAATAAAAAAGAATTTTTTTGAGAGGTTGAGAGAGAGAGGAGGGGCAGAGAGGGAGAAAGAGAGAAAGAGAGAGATGAAGGAAGAATTCCAAGCAGGCTCCTTGCCCAGCACAGAGCCCAACACGGGGCTCGATCCCACAACACTGAGATAATGACCTGAGCCAAAATCAAGAGTCAGACACTTAATTGACTGAGCCACCCTGGTGCCCCAGAAAAGAAATTTTTTTAAAGAACATGAAAAACAAGAAAAGATCAAGAAATTCTTTCAAACTGAATACTCTAAAAATGGGTCTTTTTTTAAAGATTTTATTTATTTGATAGCGAGAACGCACAAGTAGGGGGAGTGGCAGGCAGAGGGAGAGGGAGAAGCAGGCTCCCTGCTGAGCCAGGAGCCAGATGTGGGACTTGATCCCAGGACCCTGGGATCATGACCTGAGCTGAAGGCAGACGCTTAACTGACTGAGCCACCCAAGAACCCCTAAAAATGGGTCTTGACAATCACATGCAACATGACTTCCTAGACAGAGTCCTGGACCAGAGAAGAGAAAGAGCCACTGTGGGACAGCTGGTGAAATCTGAATGGGATCTGTGAATTGGAGGTTAGTGTTGCACAAATGCTGATTTCTAGGCTTGTATGGTTGTATGTTGATTACATAGGAGAGAGTCCCTGTTTTGGAGACATGCATGTTAGAGTGTTTTGTGGTAATGAAACATCACATCTGTAATTTGATCTCCAAACATTCACAAGAAGACTAGAGAGTGGTCCGTAGAGCCAACACTGTAATATATTAACGGCTGGAGAATCAGGTGAAGGGCATGTTGGGAGTTCATTATACACACCTGGAGGCATCTTGAGGAAGGTATCAAGGACATGCACTTCGGCCAGTTGCATGATCCGTTCTTTCTCTGCAAGGGCTCGTGCACGGGCCTGAATGATATGTCTCTCCAACATTTCAATTTCATCCAGTCGCTGCTTATAGACCTTCCGAATCTGGCAGGTAGACCATCAAATGCACAGAAATAGGCTGAGATCGCAGAGCTTTACTCACCCCCACCCCCAGCATCGGGCTTCCTGTGAAGCACAGAACAATCACAGAACTATGGAGACCAACTGGTCCAACCTAACAGATGTGAAAACTGGGACCCACAGAGGGAAAAGGCTTAAAGGTTTCATAGTAAATTCGGGAACAGAGCCGAGCCTGAAACTCTGCCTCCTGCCTTCACAGCTGCCACCCAAACTCTGAAAGAGCAAACACAAGTTAGCACACCACCTGTGGTAGACAGAGGCGTGCCACCCAGATGCCCACCTCACCTGAGACTCCCTTTAAGGGATTCCTCAGCAGTGTGGGCAGCCGTCAGACTCAGCAAAGAGGGTCCAAGTCAGCTGCCTTCCTCCTTGTACAGACGAGGAAGCAGTTGCCTCCCAGAGACGAGTCATGCTTCCTCAAATCTGGGCATGAATGCCTAGGTTACGATTGTGGTTTGTGATACAAAGACAGGCACCCCAAATGGGGTGACTTTTAGCCTTACCATCTTCAGGAAACAACAACTATTCGGCTATCTGCCCCAGTCCTTTTATTTACATATGCAATTATTTCGTGTGTGTATGCACGTAGAAAAATGAAGATGGATAGGCGCTACAGACATAGGCCTTATGTGCGTATTTCTGTAAACGTGCGGAGAGAGTGCTCTTCCACTAGATGTCGAACACACTGGGGCAGGGGCTTTGCGTTTTCCTAGCTGCATCCCCAGTGCCTGGCAACCAGCAGATGCTGGCACTTGTCGAGAGGCTGAGTCCTGCGGGGGCCTGCCTTTCTAGGGGCGCGCCCTGGGGCCCCCCCGCACTGTCCGCGGACGTGACGCCACCGTGTCCCCGGTGAGCAAGGGCAGGGAGCGCGCGGGGCTCCGGGGCCGCCTTACCCGCTGCAGCTCGTCCACGAACTCCTCGTGGCGCGCATCCTCGCTGCCGCGGGCCTTGATCAAGCTCGCGCTCAGGTCCTCGCCGATCACCTCGTTAGTGTACAAGTTGCGGAAGAGGCCGGTGAGCAAGTGCGAGATGTCTTGGCTGCGCAGCGAGGTGGGGCGCAGACTCAGCAGCTGCGGCTCGGGGAGCGGCTGGAGCGTGAGGGGCCCCACGCGGCGGGCCCGGCCCCCGAAGCTGTAGTGAAAGGCCTCGGAGTGGGTTAAGGAGGACAGCCAGGTGGACTCGCTGGGGCTGCGGATCCCGGCCAGATGCGAGGTTGGCGTCCACGTCGCACCCCGGAATGCGTAGGACCCGGACTCTGCAGACAGTCGGTCTCTGGCTCTTCCCGTCTCCATGGCAACTGAGACGCCGCTAACTCCTTGCCGCCCTTCCGCTTCCGGCCGCGTCCTTTCCGCTTTGCCTCCCTCTGCGGGAGCCGCTTTTGCATCGATCTTCTTAAAGTGAGCTTAGTGTGAGGCACCAATGGAGAATGGTTCATTGGCACAGCCAGGCCAGTCTGGTTGCAAAACTTGGCTCCTAACTACCTCTCTTCATCCGTCTGTTCTCTAATTTGTTAAGCAATTATTCACTCATTTAATATTTATTGTATAAAGATTCTATTTCAGGTTCGTGCTGGGAGCTGAAGATAGCAAAGGAAGTGAGATGCTGCTTCGGCCCTCAGTCGTGTGTGTGTGTGTGTGTGTGTGTGTGTGTGTGTGTGTGTGTGTGTGTGAGAGAGAGAGAGAGAGAGACCTA